CTCATAAAGTTCATATTCAAATCAATAGACACGTAAAAGAGAAAGAAGTAAACTATACAATATGTTAAATAGTGCAACGTGCTTTGGCATAAAATAAGGCAAATAGAGAAAGGGAATAGGGAGAGCCAGGAGCCAGGGTGGAGTGGTAATTTTAAATAGGATAGAAAGTGAGAGACTTATGGAGAAGTTGGCATTGAAGAAAGACCTTAATAAGCATGGATATGATTACAATAATTTAGGGGAGAAATAATAGGTGACTTGGAATGGTGGTAATGGTGAAGGTTTGATAAGAAGTGATAAGAATTTGGTAATATTTTGAAGGTAGAACTAAAAGGATTTTCTGGAACAAGTGCATCTCCAGGATATTTAGTCCAAGAAACTAGAAATCAGATTTCCATGTGCAGAGATGGGAAAGAAAAAAAGAAGGAACAGATTAGGGAGTTGGGAACCAAGCTACATGTGAAATTTGAGATACTTATTAGATATCCTGGAGGTCCTGGGTTAGGCAAGCAGTTTGCAATTAATGGGTAGCCTTAAAGTTGTTCTTTCAAGCCCACCCAGCAGCACTGTGGAAGAAAGGTCTGGTGATCTGCCTCTGTAGAGATCATAGCCAGGAAAATACTATGGAGTATTTCTACTCTATAACACATGGGATTACCAGGAGTTCTGACCAACTCAACAACAACTTTTTTTTTTTTTAATTTAGCTATTCAGGTGGAACTGTCAAGTAGTCAAGTGAACATGGTGGTGGCGGTGGTGGTGTGCCGTGGAGTCAATTCTGACTCATAGCAACCCTGTATAGGGTTTCCAAGGCTGTAAATCTTTATGGGAGCAGAAAGCCTCATCTTTCTCCCATGGAACAGCTGGTAGTTTTGAACTGCTGACGTTGAATTAGCAGCCCAATTCATAACCAGTATGCTACCAGAACTTCTTAAGTGAACATAGAAGAAATACATAAACATTGTAGCTTGCAATGATAATTTTGGATTTATCAATGTATATGTGGTAATTAAAGCCAAAAGACTGTATGGAATCACCAAGGAAATAAATATATACAGAGAAAAGAAGACGTCCAAGAACTGAGCTCACAGCTACTAGGCAGTTGGAGGTAAAGGAGATAAAGAAAGTGCATCCAGCAGGAGAATCAAGAGACAGTGATGTCCCATAACCTACTGCAGAAAGGTTTTCCAGGAGACGGGAGTGTGCAACTGTGTCGTTTGCTGCTGATGGGCTTTCAAATCCTGACTGTCAAATGGTCATTGAATTTTGCAATCTAGAGGTCATTAGTGAACTAGACAAGAGCATTGTCTTCAAGATATTGTCATCTTAAATTTCTGCATCCCAATCTGAATCCAAAAGCAAAACAGGAATCAATATAAAAAAAAAAAAAAATTCTCAGCATACTCGGGCATGGTTAAATGTCATTTTATGGTCCAGTTGAAGTTTGGGCAAAGGTAAGACATATTTTAGTTTAGCTGAACTATAGTGAGACTTGCTTCGGCAACCATCTGTGTTCTAAGACCTCCTGCATAAAAGGCTACATTTTCAGAACTCTGACTTGATTTCCTACAGGAACATTGCAATTTGAATCTGCATTTGGAGACCACCTGCTCCAGGCAACTACAGGTAGCTTTCAAAGTGTACTGCTAGATAAAATAACCCTTTTTGAAGAGGTTAAGATCTCTGAATACATGGCAGCACTTTCATATGAGATAAAATAATAAGAAAATTTGCCTCTTGAAGCTCCTGAGGTTTAGCTATCTGCACTGAATCACTCAGTGTCAGGGGTGGTGGGGTCCCTGCTGGTCATCCTAGATGCCTGAAGCATCACTTTGTGAATCCAGATTAAAAGGCAGACAAGATACAAAAACTGCTTCTTTTATTATTATTATTCTGTTAGAAGCTTGACTCTCTGGAAACCCTATTCTTCAGAAATCATAAGCAAGTAGCCACAGTGTGTGATTTGCTGTATGATATTAGAAAGACCTGAAGCCACACATGACTTGACTGTAGAAATGGAAGGGATGATTCCCATATTTGTTATTGATGTGTCAATAAGAGGGATAATATATAAGATGAAAAATAACTTCAGCAAGTTTTAAAGATTGAAGGATCACAAGATGTCATTTATAAGAAGAAATAAAAGTCACCTAGGTTTAAATTGCCTCAGTGGTTTAAGTTGGGAGAAATAGGGGTCTGTGACATCATGAGTGAAAATGAGTCAAAGTGAGCCAATCATGTGATGTAGGTGGTTAAAAGTAAATGTCATTTTAGGCTTAAAAATATAAGAACATTAAGTGCAATGAGGCAGGTTATGATCATCTGTTATTCCGTATTGTCAGGACATATCTACACACATAGTAGGAGAAAAACAGATTCGTGAATTTATTCCAGAGAAAGAAATCAGCTGATGAAATGTCTGAAAGCTATGTCATGTGGAAAATATTATGACAATCTGGAGATGTTTTATCATGTAGAAGTGATGACATGGATGGTACAAAATGCTTTTCTTCAAATGTGAAATTTCCATTTCAAATTTGCTTCGCATGTTAGAAAAGATGTGAGATTTATATTAGTTAAAAAAACTATGGATAACCATATTTTAATCCAGTCTAAGGAAACACTCTTTGGAAATTTCTGGCAAGATAGAATGAGTAAGGTCTCCATTCCTAGAGACTTTTAACCAGGTTTGAACCGTTACACTCGGGCAGGCACAACAGTGTAAAAATTAAGTCATGGAACAAATCTCTTTTTATACCTGACCTATTGCCTTCAAGTCAATTCCAACTCCTAGCAGCCATATAGGGCATAGTAGTACTGTGTCCATAGGATTTCCAAGGCTGTAAATCTTTAAGGTAATATACTGCTCCATCTTTCTCTCAAAGAGCTGCTTGTGAGTTTGAACCGTCGACCTTTTGGCTACCAGTCGAGTACTTAATCATTTTCTCACCAGGGCTCTGTAATCTATACCTAAGAGACTGTAATGCTAAGCCTATAAGACTCATAGATTTTAGGTATATGGCTAAAGATAAAAGATGCAAATTGCCTTTACAAATCATTCTCCAAAGGAAGAACGCTCTTATGAACAGCATGGAGGAAGCTCCATGTTCTTATACACAGTAAGGCAGATAAACTTGCAGAAAGTTCTGAGAACTAAGCACTGAGAAATACTTCACAGAATTTTTCATATTGAAAGATTTTATGATTTAAAAAACATCTTTAAGACATTGGGAGTCTCTAGGTTTTTCATGTTTAGTCAGCTAACTAAATTATCTATTCAACCTGCTTGTACTTTGCAAGGTTGTGAACCAATAAACTCCAAATCATGAATTGTACAAAGTTTGCCTTTGGTGCTTTTGAGTACATGTCCTCCCTTCTGTATGTGTATTGTGTACAATACCAGAAACACTCCAAGTTCTCATGAAGACTTAGAATTATCTTTTGTGGTGGGTATAATACTCTTCAAAGATGGAGGCAAATGAAGAATCTTGAAATTTTATGAGTAAGAAGTGATATGGAAAATATCATTTTCCTTAAATTTATGCCAAGGAATTTCATGAAGAAAGATTTTTATAGAGATTCTTCACTATAAAGTAATCATTTGAAGACAAGCATTTTCTTTTTATAAGGCATAAAGAATTTCAAATAGTGTGAGGAATAAATAAACTGAAGGATAGGGGTAGGGGTGAACAATTCAGGGACTTGGGTTTTTAAAGTTCATGATTTTTCCAAGTTGAAAGAAATAAACCAAAGGAAACCAGGACCCACTGGACTGGTATCCCTTGAATCTATGTACTAGGACGGTGAGCACCACTGTGGTCAGTATTAACCTCATGGTCCCTGCATCTGGAAACCAGTCAAAGTGAGCCAGCATCTGTTTGTTATTTCATATATGTAGTAAAAATATTGCCTTGGGTCAATTAAATTGTTCTTCAAAAAGTGAACATTGCCTCAGCATAATTTCCCCTCTTCTCCTTTAAAAAAAGTCATGAAACAACTTGGCATTCTATTTAAAATATTGCATATAGCCAGTAGATGCCATATTTCATTGTCGAACAGGTCCATGATTTGTAATGAATATTGTGGTCAGGAGGAAACCCTTGGATAGTTGCTAATAATCTTTAGCATTTCATACATGAGAAACAGAGTTTAGACTAAGACTGGTTTTCATTTTACTTCATATAAAGCAGAGAAGACTATTTACCAGATGTAGTGCTACTTCAAGTAACTAAAATCGTGGGGTAAATTACAGCTGAACTTCAAAGATGTCTGCTGCAATTACCACTCAGACTTTGTCAATACATGATAATCATAAAAAGAAACAGGTACATATTGATCACTATCAACAACAATCTCTGAAATGATGTTGGAAGTTAAAGATTTTGAAATAAATTTCAAGTAGTGGTTTCCTTGAGAAATTAGATCAATTTACTTTCTGGCATCTACCAAGTTTCATTGTTACTTTTCATGTTTTTCTTTTCTTTCCCTTTACTTTCCTGTGAAGACACTTACCTAGACTATGTTTTTTCCAATGCTATTCTGAAAAATATACGTTTGAACAAGCTTGGTGATTTTTTAAACAGTACTTAGCTTAAATATAATTTTGGAACAAGTCTGAATTGCATAGAAAGGAAAACAAGGAAATGATGATTTACTGAGAATCTAATATGCCCAACACACTGTGCTTGGATTTTGGTATTGACTAGTTTCATGTCTAAACTTCTTTTCTCTAAAAGATTATTTCATTTTAAACAAGATTTATGGTAAATCTCTGATACCCAGCAAATGGTAAAATTGTAACATCACTTTATAAAAGCCAAGATGAAAAGCCCATTTACATAGGCACTATCAGCTTATTTTTGACTCCGCTGCAGGAGTCTCACAGATCCACTTGAAATTAATTAATGCATATTGCTACCCTGTTCTTTTTGTCTCATCACTGGGAAGCCAGCTGTAGGGGTCCTGATGGGTCATTATGTTTCATAATGGTAGAAGCAAACTGGCAGTTTTTGTGGTTGCTGCTCTGCTCTGAGCCACAGCACTCCTGGGGAGCCCAGTCTTCTCTCAGCTCTTAGATGGTTCAGACCAGTGTAGGACCTGTGGCAATCACACTGGTAACGAAGCTACAGGTTGATGCATTGTCCTCTATTTTGACAAGGTTGACTTTCACACCAGTCCTTTCTCACACAGCCTGCCTTGATGTTTAGTGATGAGCTGATGCTTAATGATGAGCTGGATGAAATGTTCTCCAAGGTAATGTAATTCAAATCAAACTTAATGTCTTGCAGACAGCCTACAAATGAAGGTGTGGATGGTGTGTGATAGGCATTAAGCAGAACATCATCATTGCTGGTCTTTTCTATTGGTAAACCACCCAAAAAGGAGTTTTGAAAAGTGCATATTGGTTGATCCCTTTTAAACGGGGAAGGTGCTTTCATGATGCATTTCTCTGCACAGGAGTTGTCTAGTAAAATAAGAGTCACAGCCTCTGCAAACGTTATCCCCACAGAATGCCACTTTCTATCACTGGTATTGTGGGAAATATACAGAAGCACTTTTGACTGATTATTGACTTGAATTAATACGTGAATATGACCATTTAGCAACTCAAGCTTTACAACTGTGTCCCTGTCTCCTGGGAAAAATAGAAGTGCCGTTACTTGAACAATCTTAAACTTAAGGGCTGTGTTACAAACTGAGCCCTTGGTTGTTTCTGAACGACTTGTGACCCTCAGGAAGCCATTGCCTTCAAAAGAAAGTGTGGTGCCAGTTTCACACAGTGACCCAGTGTGGCCAGATGGACATAGGCAACTGAATCCATGCTGGCCATCTTGGAAGTCAGGGGTGCATGTCCCGTTATTTAGGCATTGGTGATGGGTACAGCCTAGAAGAATATCAGCACAGTCTACACTTCCAAAAAAGGTGCCAGAATGATTATCAAGTGGGCATGGCAAGTATAGTTTCCAGGCAAGTTTTCATAGGTACCACCATTTTGGCAAGGATTTGAAGAGTATTCGTTGATGTCCTCTTCACAGTGAATCCCTGTAATATAATAAAGAACAGGCTGAAATTTTATATGCTCAGACGAGAAATAGAGGTTTTACATAATTTTCATGTGTGATTTTGTGGAAGTGCGTAGATTGTGTTTAAGACCATACTAAGGAGACCTATCATGGAGGAAAGCTAAAACAGATTACATCATCCTGCACATGTGTTTTAAGAAGTGCAGCCATGGCAGAGCTGGAATTCTTCCTGTACAAGTAGATACTTTGTCAAATATAGTGGTTGGCCCAGTTAGCTATCATGTTAGATACATGTCAGTCATTGATGTTATAAAAAGAATAAGAAAAAGATTTCTCTTGACACTGATGCTGTATACAAATTATTGTTTGGGGAACATTTTCTCAGATATTGTTTATCCTGTCATGAACTGTTAATTTCATTCTAGTCTACTTGGAAACTGAGATTAGGCCTTTTATCTTATTTGTAGCTCCCCAAACCCCAAACCGCTACTTCTGGTGTGGTACTGTAGGATCAGCTCTGGACTTTGAACCACAAGGTCAGCAGTTCAAACCTATCAGGTGCTCCTTGGAAACAGAGTTGTTAAGAGTTGTAACCGACTCAAGGGCACTTAACAAGAACATCAATACACCCCTAGAGCCCAAGTTTGCCAACGCTGTAAGATAAGCACTGAACTGTTAACCACAAGGTCAGCAGTTTAAACCCACCAGTTCACTTTCAGAAAGTTTATGCAGGATTGCTGTGAGTTAGAACAGAATTGATAGCACACAACAACATCAGTAACAACATAGTCTAGAGTACTACGGAGGGTTCTGAGGTGAATGAAAGGAAGGTCCCCATTCCTCAACCCCAAGAATTTGAGATGACTTCATAGGTCTAAAATAGCATTTGATCAAATTTACCCTTGAAAATTCCTTTAGAAACTTTTACTTTGAGGACTGGCATGTTGTTGCTGTTAGGTGCCATCGAGTCAGCACCGACTCATAGCGACCTTATGCACAGCAGAATGAAATACCGCCCGATTCTCATCCAGCCTCACTATTGTTGCCATGCTTGAGTCCATTGATGCTGCCACGTGGCCAATCCATTTCGTTGAGGGTCTTCCTCTTTTTCTCTGACCCTCCACCCTACCAAACATGATATCCCTCTCCAGCAACTGGTCCCTCCTGACAATATGTCCAAAGTATGAGAGATGAAATTTGGCCATCTTGGCTTCCAAGGAGCACTATGGCTGTACTTCCTCCAAAATGGATCTATTGGTTCTTTTGGCAGCCCATGGCACTTTCAATATTCTCCTCCAACATCATAACTCAAATGTATCAATTCGTCTATGATCTTCCTTATTCACTGTCCAGCTTTCTCATGCATATGAAATTATTGAAATTACCATGGCTTGGGTAAGGCGCATCTTAGTCCTGAAGCTGACATATTTGCTCTTCAACATTTTCAAAAGTTCTTGTGCAGCAGATTTTCCCAATGCAATATGTCGTTTGATTTCTTGACTGCTGATTCCATGAGTGTTGATAGTTGATCCAAGAAGAATGAACACCTTGACAACTTCACTCTTTTCTCCGTTGATAAGAATATTGACTGGCATAGCATCTCTCAATTTGAAAGACTAATATGCCCTTAAAAAAAAAAAAAAAATCCTTAGTGGCAGTAGTTGTCCAATTTATTTTTTCCATCTCTAGAGAGATTTACTATGTAAAATGCCTGGCTCTTTCACTCTCCCCTCACTCCTCTGCAGAAGATGAGGGGCAATTTACTGTAATTGATGAGTCTGGAGAAAGTTGTGACGTAGCTGCTTTTGCTCACCTTTCTTCCCTACCCATCTGGCAAACTCAGGTTGTTGTTGTTGTTAGGTGTTGTCCTATTGATTTTGTAGCACACTGACTCCATGTGATAGAAGAGAACGGTCACACAGGGTTTCTTATGTTGTAATCTTTATGGAAGCAGAGCACCAGGTCTATCTCCCTGGATGGGCAAGAACTGCCAACTTTTTGGCTAACGGCCAAGTGCTTAACTGTTGTGCCACTGGGGCTCCTCGGCAAACTCAAATAACACCTCTTACTTATGAAGACCTTCTCTTTTGCTGAAATAGTTAATGAATTACTATGTTGCTTATACTGCCATAAACTTTTCTGCATGTCTGTGGAGTGTCTAAATGTTTTGTAAAAGCTCTTTGAGTGAAATGACTCTGGAATATTTGCTAAGGCACTAAATGTGGGTCAAGGAGTCTTATGTCAGATTCCTGGTCTAACATTTATTGGTTGTATCATCTTGGAAACATCTTAACTTCCTTGAGTACCAGTGTCTTCATGTGTAAAAATGAGGCTTCATTGTGTTATTGTATTTGAAAGTGCCCAGACAATGCCTAGAACAAAGTGTTATTGTTCCTGTTCAGTGCCATCGAGTTGGTTCCAACCCATAGCAACCCTGTATAAGGTTTCCGAGGAGCAGCTGGTGAGCTTGAACCATTGACCTTGCTTGAAAACAGCTTTGCAGTTCAGCACATTAACTAACAGTGCCACACCAGGATTCCACAAAGTAGGTAATTGAAATATGTAACTTGACTGAACTCTTCTCTGCTTTCCTGATGCCTGCTACAATGCTGGATTCACAGTAACCATCAAATGTACTTTAGTTCCAGGAAGACTTTAAAAACAAATAGTTTAATTACTTTTGCTTTATCCAAGACCATTGTTGTTGCTGTTGTTGTTAAGTGCCATCAGGTCAGTTCCAACCCATAGTGACCCTATATAGGGTTTCCAAGGAGCCGCTGGTGATCTTGAACTGCCAACCTTGCAGTTCAAATGGCTTTGCTGTTTGGCATATTAACCCATGGCACCACACCAGGACTCCTTATCCAAGACTTGTTGTTGTGATGTGCCGTGGAGTTGGTTCCGACTCATAGCGACCCTGTACAAAGTTTCCGAGGCTGTAAATCTTTACAGGAGCAGAAAGCCTCATCTTTCTCCCGTGGAACAGCTGGTAGTTTCGAACTGCTGACTGTGAGATTGGCAGCCTGATTTGTAACCACTATGCTATAGAATCATTAATAGAATGAAGATCAGACCCAGGTCCTTTAGCTTTTTGCTTAATTGTTGTCCATTGTCCACCACATTTGGGAGTCCTGGTGTGGCACAGTGGGATAAAGCACTGGACTGCAATGTTGGCGTGAATCACAAGGTCGGTTCAAACCAACCATTCCTTAGAAACCCGACTCGATAGCACTTAACAACAACAGATCCATTGCATTTGTAATTTCTTCCTAAATTGTGTTTGTTATATATGTGATTTTCTGGAAATATAAGCAGTATTTGGAGTGCTGTGGCTCTGTAGGATAAGAAATGGACTCGAACCATAAGTTTGGTGGTTTGAGTCCACCAGCTACTCCATAGGAGAAAGATGAGGCTTTCTGCTCATACAAAGATGTACAGTCTAGGAAACCTTACACAGGGTCACTGTGAGTTGGAACCTACTTGATGACTCTTACCAATAACAAGCAATTAGTATATAGAGAAAGTACTAGAACTAAAGTGTAAGAAAATAGGCAGTTACAATAATCAGGTTGATAGTATGGAGTCCTGATTTGGTGATGTAGGGTAAGCCCTTGACTGCAAACAATGAGGTTTGCAGTTCAGACCCACCAGCCGCTCCTCAGAAACCTTATACAAGGTTGCTGTGAGTCAGAACCAACTCGCTGGCACTTAACACCAACAATAAGGATTAAGCTGAATTTTTTAAGCAATAGAGAAATACTATGTAAAAATAAATTTCTAAAAATTTTTTAAAGTTTTTATTGTGAATTGAGTGATAATTTACATGTTCACATGGGGGAACATCACTTTTACACTCATCCTATCCTATTTGTTTCATTGCAATGATTACAATCCTCTGCATGCTTCATCATTCAGCAGTATTTGCTTCTATTCCCTGGTTTTTTCTTTGGATGTGCACCAAAACACTCAGGAATATACAATCATTCAAACAGCCAAAGGACACGTCCTGCAAGCCTGTGCCCTGGCTGCCGGCACACATTCCCTGTCCCTCCATGAGTCTAGAGTCCTCAGCTGCTCCGTCTCTCCATGACATCATCTCTGCCTCCACCTCTGGTGTCATCGCTTCTCTGGGTAGGGTCCCACACTCTGCTCCTGCTCTTCTCCCTTGATGGTCTCAGGGTCCTCCACTCCAGGACTGTAAGATCCACCACTCACCCCTTTTTGTTACAAAGCTTCTACTTTTATAGTTGCAACAATTGCAATTAGTCATGATAGCAATTAGTCACTATTGAATCATGAGAGTCTTGTCCTGATCTCCTTCCACCAGACCTGTCTAGACTGCCATGTATGTCATTCTGTAGTTGTTGTCTGTTCTTGGTTCTCAGTCCACAGAACTTCCTTTAGGATGTTTTTCATAGCAGAGTTGGCTTTGGCAAAATCCCTTAGCTTCTGTTTATCTTGGAATGTTTTGAATATACCATCATATTTGATTGACAGCTTTGCTGGGTAGAGGATTCTTGGGTGGCAGTTTTTTATTTCCAGGGTTTTATATATGTCTCCCCATTGCCTTCTTGCCTGCAAGGTTTCTGTTGAGAAATCTGAGCTTAATCTGATTTGCTTGCCTTTGTATGTTACACTTCTCTTTCCCTTAGTGGCTTTCAAGATCCTGTCCTTATCTTTGATTTTGGAGAGCTTGATTATTATATGTTTTGGTGATTGTCTTTTAGGGTCTATACATCCTGGGGTTCGTTGAGCTTCTTGAATGCTTATCTTTTCACTTTTCAGGATGTTAGGAAAATTTTCTTCCAGAA